AGGCAAGCCCGCCCGCACTCGTGCGTGCGGTACAGCATAACTACAGAAGTGAGCGGGGTTAATCAGCCACCTGGTATGTGGTTGGTTTCTTAGTAACCCGGGGAGAGAAATATCAGCTAAAGCGATTCTATTTTTTTCCAGGCTGACTGTGCTGTGCTTATTGTTGCTGCTGGTACTGGTGAATTCGAAGCCGGTATCTCCAAGAACGGACAGACCCGTGAGCACGCTCTGCTCGCTTTCACCCTGGGCGTCAAGCAGCTGATCGTGGGCGTCAACAAGATGGACTCCACCGAGCCCCCATTCAGCGAGACTCGCTTCGAGGAAATCAAGAAGGAAGTCTCCTCGTACATTAAGAAGATCGGCTACAACCCCGCCGCCGTCGCCTTCGTGCCTATCTCCGGCTGGCACGGCGACAACATGTTGGAGCCCTCTGACAAGATGCCATGGTTCAAGGGGTGGAATGTGGAGCGTAAGGAGGGTAAGGCTGAGGGCAAGTGCCTGATTGAGGCTCTTGACGCTATCCTGCCGCCCAGCCGTCCAACAGACAAGGCTCTTAGACTGCCACTTCAGGTACACTAACTTATTGCATACTATGACCTTTTATTTTTAAGATTTACTATTTTGCTCATTTAATTAATATTTTTCCTAATTTAATTTCAGGACGTTTACAAAATTGGTGGCATTGGAACCGTCCCCGTCGGTCGTGTTGAGACTGGTGTTCTGAAGCCAGGCACCGTCGTTACCTTTGCCCCCGCCAATATCACCACTGAAGTGAAGTCTGTTGAAATGCACCACGAAGCCCTGACTGAGGCTGTGCCTGGCGACAATGTTGGCTTTAACATCAAGAACGTGTCAGTGAAGGAGTTGCGACGTGGCTATGTTGCTGGCGATTCCAAAAATAATCCACCCAGGGGTGCAGCTGATTTCACTGCTCAGGTCATTGTCCTGAACCACCCTGGCCAGATCTCTAACGGCTATACACCTGTCTTGGATTGCCACACCGCCCACATTGCCTGCAAATTTGCTGAAATTAAGGAAAAATGTGACCGCCGTACTGGTAAGTTGATTATAAAGCTAAACAAACATGTTCTCTGTATCCTGCATTTTACTTCAGGTATTAACTTTCTAAATTTTTAAATTTTTAAGGCAAGACTACTGAGGAAAATCCCAAAGCCATTAAGTCTGGCGATGCTGCCATCATTACCCTTATTCCATCAAAGCCAATGTGTGTTGAATCTTTCCAAGAATTTCCTCCTCTTGGACGCTTTGCTGTGAGGGACATGCGACAAACTGTTGCTGTTGGTGTAATCAAGGTATGTATACACAATAATTACAAAGAAATAATCCTGCTATTATTTTTTTAGGAACAGTTTACTTATTTTTTAAAATTTTTCTTTAATTTTCAGCAAGTGACCTTTAAGGAGGCAACAACTGGTAAAGTCACAAAGGCCGCAGAGAAGGCTCAGAAGAAGAAATAACTAGGTGTGATGGGCTTCAAGGCCTATGAGATGGGTCCAGGGGGTGTAAAGGCTGCGCAGTTACAGATTTGGACATGTGTAAAGACTCTGAGAGTGATGACAGAGCACACTATACAAAGTACTATAAAGCAACACGGCTTGATTCTATGTCAGCTGCGCAGCATAGGCAAGGGGTTACTACGGCATTGTTTTCATCGCAAAGAGCTACGCCGGAAAAACTTCACAGTTCTTAGCTCGGATATCTTTAAATTGTTTCCATCTTCAAAGGGATTATTTTATTTGTAACTCACCTTATCTGAATGTGGAATTAGGTGAATTTGTGTCAACGTTTCTTTAAGATCCTGCATGGGGTGAATTTAGATAACTTGCATCATTTTGCATTGCAGTGAAGAAGTGTTTTGTTTGAATTGTGGTTCAATTTTGCATTGCATTTGATGCATAGCCAATCTCTTTATGAGAATGACTTGATTATCTTTTTCACTTATTTTTCATACCACTTTTACCCAGATAGTTTCACATTGCATTAGAATTATGTGCTAAAGCTTTTTGTAAAATATTTATTATTTTATTTGTTTGATATAATGATAGTTTTTTAATTATGTTAATGTTTCAAATTGTGGTGGGTTGTTGGTTTGCATCATGTAGAGACGTTGAGAAGCCGTGTTGCTCGAGTGTAAAGCAGTAGTTGGAACATGCCAAGTGTCATTACATTTCGAATAATCATACCCTCATATATGCCACCTGGCACTTCTTTCTTTTTGTTACCGTATAATTCCATTAAAACAGGATTGAAGGAAAATTTCCTTGTTATCATTTTTATTATCACTTTAACCCAGAAGACATTTTCAAAAAAAAATCTTAAATTTGTAGAAAAAATTCTGGCATGTGGGACTTTGCATACAAGAAATTAGGCTTCATACTTTGTTGCAGAGATGTTGTATGTGAAAGATGGGTTCCTGATGGGTTGGTTCCTGGGTAGAGAGTCACTGATGGGTAGAGGCATCAAATTATTTTCTTGATTTGTAAAAATACTTGCAGAGCATTACTGAATAATCTTAATCGCAATAAACCGGGGCTTTATCAGTATTTCCGAAGTTTGAGATGATGGGTGGTGTGGTGTGTCATAATGGGGAGGGCCACCTTTAGCTATTTGAATTAATGCGGCTGGACCTTCCAAAACGCGGGAATCTGAGTACTACGCTGAGTGCATACTATTTCCGGTCCATATTACTTTCAAAATAACTAAATTGATTTTTCTGGGATTTTTTCCAGCATCTCGCAGTTTGCAATTTTTCCGAAACCATTATTTCCTCCACCGTTCTTTTTCTGTCTTTCCAAAATAGTTAAGTTTTAAATAGTATTTGATATGAAACGGTTACAGCAGTTTGACTCTCTAGCCAGAGATTTTATAAACTTGACAAAAAAATAATTTATTTAAAAATTGGGTAATGGTAAGTTTGTTATAAGTCCAAGCAGGTAATTGAAAAATTGTTTTCTCACTTTTATTGTTCTTTTTGCAAGATATGTGTCTGCAAGTCATTTTAAATTGCAGTTGAAGACGAGGTTACCACCTACCAGTCTGGAAGTCAACAGTTGGCAGCATCCAATGCAGCGCTCAACAGGCGGGTTTTGGAACTACTGGCTGCCCACGTGACCTTTTAAGACGGGGTCTGGATCCTGGCTCATCGCATTCGCACTTTCCTTCATCCACTTCGTCGTGTGAGCTGAACTGAAGTAGATCTCCGCGGAGAGCTACTTTCTTATTTACAAAAGGTGAGGGTTTTTTCTCATATTGGGCAAGTCAATTTTGATCAGTTTTAAATTTTATATTTATCTTCTTCGAAAACATAGTTTGTGCGTCGGTTTTTAGTGAAATTTTGTGAAAAGCAAGCCTTCAGTTGGGCACTTAGCCTCATTTGTTGCCTGTCCACGTGGCAGTGAATACATTTGTCGCGCACCCGTAGTGTTAGATTTCGCTTATCTTTGTTTACCTTTACCTTGCCTAATTATTATTCTGGCTAATCGCATCACTTAATTGTTACATCTATCTATACATTGTGAATCATGGTGATGCAGCATAGTGCCGCCTGGCTCATCGTGGTAACTCGTGCCGCCACGCATATACTGACTATTCCATCTAAAGCTTTCTTGCATCTGCTTTGTTTAATTAATTAACTTGTGTGCTTTTCGCCGTGAGCAATGTTCCTTCAGTCTATATCTCTTAGCTGTATTGCACCACTTTCGGCTCTGAGTCACTTGTGACTAAAGTACCGGTAGGCTTGGGTCACGTTTCTTCGCCAACTTGGTCTTTCCTCCCCGTATTTGCTGACTCTCGTATAAGTGTATCTGCTTATTCCTCGTCGTTGGGTTGGATGTATTTTTATTTTCGCGGTCCTTGTCTGGCCAAACTTAACTTCAAATTATTTATCCTAAAAGAATCCGTTAGCGTGTGCCGGACGTGGGACGCCATATTGGATCCTGCCGGGGAGTGGCGACCTGGCAACATTTATCGCGTGGGGTGCCTGAGATTTTCTGTTTGAGTGATAACGCTTATTGCGTTTTCGTTATCGAAGGAAATGTAATGTGTAACCTTTAAAAAAAAGTTCCTCAATATTTTTGACAAGGCTCGTTGTCGTTATTTGACCAGCATGGCCGAAGCATGGCAATGTGGTCGTGGCTTGCCGTGTAACCGTCCGTGCATCCTTTATTGGAGCAAAAGCCTACCCAGCCATCTGGTTGTTATGCACTTGTAAAGTGTAACTGTATTCTGTGGCTTACTTCAGTTTTATTGTGTCAATGGAATTTCGGCGGTTTGGGTTAGCCGGCCGGCATGCTCAGCCGGTATCCATTTCAAGGTCACTTCCTGATAAGTGTTAATTTAATCCACAGTCCAGCTCCATGTCAAATCATCATTTTGGTCATGGCGTTTTTACTGTGGAAATTAAATGCTGGGTTCGCTATGTTTGATGGCTACTGTTCAGCTTTCAAAGACACAACTTCAGCTACACTTGTCCTGTGAACAATTTTTAATTTTTTATATCCCACAGTCCAGCTCCATGTCAAATTACCATTTTGGTCATGGCGTTTTTACTGTGGAAATTAATGCCGGGTTCGCTATGTTTGATTGCCTCCCCTGTGGCCTTCAAATACACAACTTTGGCAACACATGTTCGACAATTATTCAATTTTAAATATCCACAGGCCAGCTCCACATCAAGGCTTTTAATACTTGGTTGTGGCGTTTTAACCTGTGGACATTAACGCTGAGTTCATAACGCTTGGTTGCTATCATTTGGCTTTCAGACACGATACTTTAGCAACATGCCTATTGTATACTAGACATTACGTGCCATTTGCCATATACTTTTTTCGTTGACTAATGTACGTGTTTTTTTTTTTTTGTGTTGCAGTTATCAGCAAACTAATCGCTCACCATGGGTAAGGAGAAGGTTCACATTAACATCGTCGTCATCGGCCATGTCGACTCCGGCAAGTCCACCACCACCGGCCATCTCATCTACAAGTGCGGTGGTATCGACAAGCGTACCATCGAGAAGTTCGAGAAGGAAGCCCAGGAAATGGGCAAGGGTTCCTTCAAGTACGCCTGGGTGTTGGACAAGCTGAAGGCTGAGCGTGAACGTGGTATCACCATCGACATTGCTCTGTGGAAGTTCGAGACTGCCAAGTTCTACGTCACCATCATTGATGCCCCCGGCCACAGGGATTTCATCAAGAACATGATCACTGGTACCTCACAGGTTGGTAATCCTTCATTGTTTTTGAAGCTTATAATTTAGTTTTCTCCTTGAATGCTTAAGTGGTGCTAATTGCATTTTTCCTTATTTCTCCAGGCTGACTGTGCCGTGCTCATTGTTGCTGCTGGTACTGGTGAATTCGAAGCCGGTATCTCCAAGAACGGACAGACCCGTGAGCACGCCCTGCTCGCTTTCACCCTGGGTGTCAAGCAGCTGATCGTTGGTGTGAACAAGATGGACTCCACCGAGCCTCCATTCAGCGAAGCTCGTTTCGAGGAAATCAAGAAGGAAGTCTCCTCTTACATTAAGAAGATCGGTTACAACCCCGCCGCTGTCGCCTTCGTGCCCATCTCCGGCTGGCACGGCGACAACATGTTGGAGCCCTCTGCCAAGATGGGCTGGTACAAGGGGTGGAATGTGGAGCGTAAGGAGGGTAAGGCTGAGGGCAAGTGCCTGATTGAGGCTCTTGACGCCATCCTTCCCCCCTCCCGTCCCACAGACAAGGCCCTGCGTCTGCCCCTGCAGGACGTGTACAAGATTGGTGGTATTGGTACCGTCCCCGTCGGCCGTGTGGAGACCGGTGTCATCAAGCCCGGTATGGTTGTTACCTTCGCCCCTGCCAACATCACCACTGAAGTCAAGTCTGTCGAGATGCACCACGAAGCCCTGACCGAGGCTGTTCCCGGCGACAACGTTGGTTTCAACATCAAGAACGTTTCCGTCAAGGAACTGCGTCGTGGATACGTCGCTGGTGACTCCAAGGCCAACCCCCCCAAGGGCGCTGCTGACTTCACCGCTCAGGTCATCGTCCTGAACCACCCTGGCCAGATCTCCAACGGCTACACCCCTGTGCTGGATTGCCACACCGCCCACATTGCCTGCAAGTTCGCCGAGATCAAGGAGAAGTGTGACCGTCGTACTGGTTAGTATACTTTACCTTAGCACTACTTCACTAATCTGCGTTTCTTGGTTGTTGGTTCTAATGAAATTTTCTGTTCAGGCAAAACCACTGAGGAGAACCCCAAGGCCATCAAGTCTGGTGATGCCGCTATTGTCAACCTTGTTCCCTCCAAGCCCATGTGCGTGGAGTCCTTCCAGGAGTTCCCTCCCCTTGGTCGTTTCGCCGTCCGTGACATGAGGCAGACCGTCGCCGTCGGTGTCATCAAGGTGTGTACTCCTAAATGTTTCCTATCATATCCAATGGAATGATGAGATAGTCATGCCATGCACCACTCTTAGTCACGATGCTGACCACTTTACTTGACTCTGACCATGATACATTCATCATTTTAAACAGTTCACCTGGTTTTGTATTTGTTTTAATTTGGTAATTTTTCTTTGTACTTCAGAGCGTGAACTTCAAGGACCCCTCATCCGGCAAGGTCACTAAGGCCGCCGAGAAGGCCCAGAAGAAGAAATAACTAGGCGTGTTGGATGTCTTGAGGAATTGGGGACTGGCCGGAACATCATGGCACAGCCAGTCCATTTCATCCAAAGGTGTGCCTCCCACACACTTGTGGAGACGCCCTATCAAGGGCATACTGAAACATTGTTTCCATCGGAAAGAACTAAGGAGGAAAGCCTTGTGATAGTTGACATTGTTTTTATAAGCATGGAGACTTGTGATAGCCAAATTTTTTTATTTTTTCAATTTGATTTACTTTGAGTTATGTACTATTTATTGGTGGTATAACAAAGGTGTATGGGAATTGATATTATGTACCAGCTCAAAGCTTTAATGTTTGGATGTTGCAAAATTCGAGAACTTGTTGACTTCTGAGGCTATTTTACCTTACCCATGAATGTATGAAGTCACGTGCGACTTCACGCCAATAAATGCTGATGACAACATTTTTGTTTAGTAACTCTACCTTGGATTTTATCCACTCTTCCTTAACAGCAAATACACAGAACTGGATTTCTCCAGCAGTCTTGCTAGACTAGAGTATGTTTTGAACAACTAATAACCTGTCAAGATGGCTTGTCTTCAGTGACATTCCACAGAATGGAAATAAGCTGTTGAATAACAAACTGATCCCACACAAGTTCCAAACTATCTCAACTCCAAGGATAATACCAGTGACTCCAGTATCATAGTCAATGTTTTGACAAATAGTTAAAATTGCTCAGAATAGTCCTACAATTATCTAAAAAAAACTTAAATGTAAGCCTAAGGATGGTGACACTTTAACTCACCATTCCCATCAAAACCCAGACCCAGAAAACTGAGTAATTTGCTGTTTTGCTAGTAGTTGATTGAAGCAGAGAGAATTTCTCAGTTTTATGGCCTCTTCTGGAAGTCGGCCATTGGTGAAGCAGAAGAAATGAGCAAATGCAGGCAAATGTAAATGGGGATGGGTTTAAAATTTAAAATACATTGTAAAAAATGCTATATTTTTATTTGTTCATATTGCCATTAATGGGTTTATTTGAGAAGAAAGAAACAACTGTTTAATAATAAATATAACTTGCTTGATACATAACTGAAATTAACACAATAATGATAATATGAGGCTGTGATAAATTTGAAAGAGATAACATTACATACAGTCTAAAGCATCTCTGTACACTAACAAACAAATGGAAACAAAGCAAAACAAAAAAAAATTTCTAAGAGAATACAATAGTTTTCGTTGATAAAAATATTCTGAAAATGGGTTTAGAAGAACTTATTGCTTATTATTAGTTCTTGCAAGAACGAGGTATCACATGGCTAGTAAGTCAAAGACATTTGTACAATTGGATTACCATCATCTATGTCCTAGATGTGGAAGATGAAGCTTCAGTCTCATGGAGTTTTCTATGCTTTTTGTAAGTATTCCGATGTGTGAAACGCTCTCTACAAAATGGACATTGATAGGGTTTTTCCCCAGTATGAATGCGAGTGTGAGATTTGAGATGGGCACTTTGAGTAAAACGCTCTCCACATTCTGAGCAAATGAAAGGTTTTTCACCAGTATGAGTGTAGGAGTGACGCTTTAGACTGCTCTTATCAGCAAAACTTTCGGAACAATCAGGACATGCAAATGGCTTCTCACCCGTGTGTCTCAAAAGGTGCCTTTTTAAATTATTCATTCGACCAAAATGTTCTCCACAATCAGGACAGGAAAATAGTCTACCATCAGATGATGGCAGACAGTGTGTTTTGGCATGACTTAGAAGTTGAAATGTCTCACCACAAGTTTCACATTTATGAGGCTTCATAGGTGCATGCATTCTTGAGTGCCTTCGCAAGTTGCTTCTTTCAGTAAATTTTTCTTCACACTGAGTACACCCATAAGGCTTCTCACCAGAATGAGTCCGGTTATGGGAAATAAGATGGCTCTTCTGACTGAACCTTTCCCCACACTCTGAACAAACATAAGGACGGACACCAGAGTGAGTCAGTGCATGGCGTCTTAAAACACCACTGTCACTAAACTGTTTACTGCAAGTATTACACTGGTATGGTCTCTCGCCAGTATGTATCCGACTATGCTGCTTTAGATTACTCAAACGAGAAAATGTCTCACCACACTCAGTGCAAATAAAAGGTCTTTCACCTGTATGAGTCATCATGTGTCTCTTTAGATCAACATTGTCTAAAAATGATTTATCACATTCACTGCAAGGGAAAGGCTTTCTATCCAAGTGAGTTAGTGCATGTCGAGAGAGGTGACTCCTGCGTGCAAACCGCTCTCCACAATGACCACATGTGTGGGGCTTTTGAACTAAATGGGATCTGCTATGCACTTTCAAGTCATCTTCCTCAAGAAATTTTTGATCACACAAAGTACATGAGAACAGTTCATGACTTACATCAGAATGGCTTAATAAATGATTATGCATGTCACTTTCTAAAATATCCTGCTGGCAGTGCAGACATGTCAAGTATTTAGGTTCAACCTTATGAGACTGTTCATGTTCCTCCAATTGAGACTGTAATGCAAATTGTTCATTGCAAAATTGGCATTCATAAATTTCAGAATGAGTTTTCAGATGTATTCTTAAGTTATGTTTACGGGCAAAATGATCCCCACATTTAATGCAGGCAAATGGTTTCTCTCCTGAGTGGACTCTAGCATGTCGCTTTAAGTCTATTTTATCAACAAATGTTTTCTCACATATGTCACACACGAATGGGCGAACCCCTGTATGCTTACGCTGATGACGTTGAAGGTTGCTGCTCCTGGTAAAGCTCTCTCCACAGTAGTCACAATGATAAGGTCTCTCTCCCGTATGGGTCATGAGATGACGTTTAAGATCAAACGAATCTACAAAACCGTCACCACATTCTGTGCACTTGTGTGGTTTATCACCCGTATGAATAATACTGTGCCTTCTCAAATTGCTGCTGCGGGCAAATGAATCCCCACAAGTTTGACATCTATAGGGCTTTTCTCCTGAATGAGTCATTAGGTGCCTCTTCAAGTCCACATTATCCATGAATTCTCTATTGCATGATGGACATGGATATGGCTTATGTCCAGTATGAGTCATAGCATGTCTTTTAAGATGACCTAATCGTCCAAATCTCTCTCCACACTGAGTACATGGATGAGGCCTATGTAGAGCACGATGCCTTTCCAGATCATCACCATCTTTGAATATCTTCCAACATGTTGTACACACAAATGGTTTATCCTTGTTGTGAGTGAAGGCATGTTTGCGGAGCTGTACATTGTTTGGAAATTGCTCCCCGCATTCCTTACAAGTCATAACTTTAGAAGAAGGTTGGTCACTTGGACGTGGGGGTAACTCTCCATGCTGGTAAGTTGTGGACTTGACAATGTTTGATGCCATACCGTTCTCTAGATATGATATGCTGTTTGCACCAGGAGGTACAGAATCGGTCATTGAATTTTCAAGACCATTAACATTATCTTGATGTAATGTCAGAGGTACGAGGGATGGCATAGACACAGGAAGGGGAAGTTGCATGGTGGGAAGCCCTAAAGACAATGGAACCATAATTGTCATTGATTGAGAGCTGCTAGTAGGAGTGCTTGCTCCAGTGACAGAAGCAGTCTGCACAATGGCTTGAGATAAATTTGATGGAGCACTGGATGCTGAAACTATTAAAGCTTGCTCTAATGTTTGAGAGATATTTGATGCTGCACTTGTCACAACTAAAGTTTGACCATGCTCTTGAGTAGTTAGTGGCATGTGCAAAGGCAGAAGAGTTGTTGTTGAATGTTCTTCTTTGAGGGTGGTGTGTTGCTGAGGTATTGACGCCTGATGCTGGACTTGTACTTGTACTTGGGCTTGAACTTGAGCCTGAGCCTGAGCTTGGGCCTGAGCTTGGGCCTGTGCTTGGGCCTGTGCTTGGGCTTGGGCTTGGGCTTGGGCTTGGGCCTGGGCCTGGGCTTGGGCTTGGGCTTGAGCTTGGGCTTGGGCTTGGGCTTGGGCCTGGGCCTGGGCTTGAGCTTGAGCTTGTGCTTGTACATGAGCTTGCGCCTGAGCTTGCACTTGAGCCTGCACTTGAGCCTGCACTTGAGCCTGAACTGACTGTGACAGTGTGTCCATAAAGTGAAACTGAGACAAGTGATGCTCTCCAAGGTGTTGAAGTTGAGGCTGCAGTAGTACATGATGAGTTGGTTGCCCCTCGGCCTCTATCTTGGCTTGCTGGATGGGTCCACTGTAAACTTGAACTGACTGCGGGTGTAGTGTCTGCTGCATAGCAGGAACAGGGGCATGATGGTGGGACTGTTGAAGAGAGTGCTGTTTTCTCTGACATCGCTTTTTGTGCTTCTCTAAATATGCTGGTGAAGTGCTAACAGTTGGGCACCATGGACATGGATAACCTTCTGAAATTTGAAAAAAAAAAAAAAAAGTCTAGACATAAAAAGAAACACACCCAACAAATGAATATACAAATACATTTCTTACTTACGTTGAGTGCCATCTCCTGGTTGCCTCCTATCAGACTCAGCTGGGATGTTTTGAGATATTATTGGATTAACATTAGTCAACACTGTAACAGTTGCTGAATCTGCTGTTGTCACAATCATGGTGGTACATTGTGGCTCTGGTTTTCCACCACGACAGTATTTTTTATGTTTATCCAAATATGCTTGGCTTGTGAATGCAACAACACAGTTTGAGCAAGGAAACATGTCCCCTGCTGATGAACCTGGAAAACACAATGATGTCATTGATTGCTATGGGACTCTTAGTGATAAAAATTATTGTGATATTAATTATAATAATGATGATAAAAATAACTGAAAGTGGGTTGTTTTAAGCCAATCTGAAAATAAACGGCTGTCTACGAAAATGGAGAAAACAAGACTTAGGCTGTCATTACTTCACTATTGAGCTAATAAAGAAAAAAAGAAGCCTCTATGGGACATACAAAATTCTACATCCATAAATAAATTATCGTTACTATTGACTCAAGACTTCAGAAAATTACATCAGATGCATGAAGAAATACTTCTTAAAACTACTTCACATAGAAGAAATAATTTAAAATCCCTGTGGATAAACACCTGGGGGGAAGGGGGGGGGGGAATCAATTCCTGGTTCAAAATATATTGATTGGAAAATAAATAAAACATTAAATTTAATAACTGCAGTAATAGGAAATTGCCTCACGAAACAATCAGTACACAAGTGAGAAATAACTAAACACCATCCCTACAGTCCCTAACAAAAAATTCACCTTGACTACTCTTCACATTGACGTCCTCTAGATCTTTGATTTCTTGTTCTAACCAAGCCATATCTAGCATCATAGTAAGTTTCTTGGGTCTGTGAAATCAATAACAAAAATATTTAAAATGCAAGGCAAATGCTATAGCATGCAACTTCCTTGTCAAAATAACGTAAAATTGTAACTACTCCATGACTAAAATTGCTACCACTTTTACCTGCTAGAGCCTGTGGGGGATGATGGTTCAGTTGGTTGTGCTTCAATTCTAGGTGTCTTTCCGAATGGCTGAAAATTTTAGAATTACCACATGACTTCTCCCAAAGAAATAAGCAACAAAAAGTCACATTGCAAAATGCATACCTCCCAAGGAACGTTGTCGGATACAAGCACTGGGTTGATTGAGCTTGGATTTGCCATGTTTCGTTAGTCTGAAAAAATACCACACAATACAAAGCTATAATACAAGAACATAGAGAATGAAACATGGTATAAACATGGGACAAAATGTCTTGTTAAACCCAAAATTTCATCACTCATCATTAATAAAGACTTAAAACAACTCAAATATAAAACAAATAGGAAAACGGGGATCAATGATGAAAATAGAACACTTAGTTTCGAACTGGCTACCCGAGTGTAATCATGAAAACAATATTGACTCTTCAGATAGGTACCAGAAAATGCAGACAGCTTTAACTTCAATGTCACTGATGAACAACTAATACGTTTTTGGTGACAGTGACTTACTAAGCTACACAATAATTTTAGGGATACAAGAAAACAGTTATAATCCGGAAAGATGGAAACACAGTCCGAATAAAACGTAAAATGAACTTTGACGAAGCTGTTCTTGTGAGAAGTAATAGGTTAAGTTGTTGATGCAAATGTCGATAAACATGAAGCAGCAAATAAACCAAGAAGAAATATTTGTAGATTTTTACCATTACAAACAAAAGCAAAAATGAAAATTTCTAGTTCTCTTCGAAGAAACACTATCAATGTCAAAAATACATGGAAAACAAATTGGATAACAACAACTTAAGGGCTTCGATCATTGGGGCAGGGAAGCCATTGGCACTGCCTTTATGATGTAAATGGTAAACAACGAGAACCATCGTTTCTGACAAGGCAGCGATTAAGGGCGCCGTATTTTCAAGAGACAATCAGACAATGTCGTCCTAGTTTTCATTAAATTGCTCATGCGTGAATAATTTTTACTCTAGGGCCATATTAGGCAGGATACTTAGTGTTTAGAGCAGATTGTCTTTGCTGCCACCTTCACTTACACTTGCATCGCGTATTTTTTAACGTTTAAGGTTATGTCTTTCTGACGTTGTTTTTCTCCAGGCTTGTTAAGCGCTCCATGGACTTCCAGGTCCGTGCCGAGTCAGGGAAGCAGCTCCTGGCGAGGCTGTCGACACGTCCCAGCCTTAAGGGTCTGGATGAGCGCCTGCTGGGAGTGGATGGACCACTTCCTCACGACGTAATAGAGATTACTGGAGATGTGTCTGTAGGGAAGTCAGTCTTGGCATTGCAGTGGGTGACCCGGGCCATCCTGTCTCCGCCTAGAGGGGGTCTCGGTAAACAATTTGAAACCTTTTGGTGGTGGCTTTCTTTTCATTTATTTAACCTGGGTATCTCCTTCACCTTCCAATCTCGTTCTTGCAGGCGTTGAAGTTTTGCTCATTGATGCCGACCACCACCAGTCACTCTTCACGCTAGTTCAGCTTTTGCAAGCTCGCATGAAGGCGTTTACTGCTCAAACTTCCGGGCTCAGACTGACCTCTAGTCTGGTAGAAACATCAATTAAAGATGCTCTTAAACGGCTGACAATTATTAATGTTTATGACAGTACCAACCTGTACACTGCTATATTGGCTCTAGACAAGGTTTTTATCATTTCAGACAGCTTCCCTCAGAGTAATTTTAATTTTTCTCAGTTTTTAAATTTATTTTCTTTTTACAGATGCTCCTCTCCAAACCCCAGATTAGTATGGTTGTTGTAGACAGCCTCACAGCATTTTATTGGTCAGATCGTTTGGCTGGTGGACTGCAGCACATGGATTCCTACCTTCGCCGTTTGCTGTCTGCCCTCCAAAAAAGTACTAAAGAGCACAAAGTAATGGTTGTCTTTACCAGACCAAGTTATTTCCAATCAGCAGCTCGATCACGTTTTAAAATGAAAGAGGACAATGGAGAAAGTACCCGACTAGTTAGCCTGAATAGACTAGAAAAGGACATATCTGGAGGTAGCAGCAAAGACGGTGATAATCAATCAGCTACTAACAAAGATATGATAGAAAATATCTTTTCTGCGACAATCAGGTCTGCATATGGTCAAAAAATACTCAAGTACCACATCACCAAGGAGGGTATGCAATGGCTTTGATCATGCGTCTCATGATTATGCTCGAGTAAGGTTAGATAAGGAAAAGTTCTGTGATAATTATCTCAAAGAAGTTTGATACAATAGTATAGCACCTGTTAAAATCATAATATTTTTATTTTTATAAATACAGCTGGCATGTAGAAAACAGAAAAGCTGTCTAAACCGATCATTTTAAAAACATCCACTTAGAAATAGAGATTTCAAATTATTTTTAAATGCTGAAATAAAAAATGCCAAACATACAGTACTTTAAAAAGAAGATACTTATTGATACAGCCAGCAATTTCAAGGGTAAAGATTTGGTCAAGGTTAAGAGCAAGCCTGTGTGCTACAAGGAAGATAGTGTAATAACACTTTTGATTGGATTGAATTAATAGTTCATCTAGAAGACTATCATATTTTTGTATTGAATACACATAGGTATTATTGAGGAAAATGCTTTGACACCAGAGGAGCACACAGTGTTTGCATTGAGCTTATCCTTATATCTTGAAATACATGTAATACAACAGTTAAAAATTAGTTTGTTTGTTTTTTACAAAAAACATGGCTGTTATAATACCATCAACACAGGGAGACTTTATCACAGCTCCTGTTGAGACCATCTCAATAAATAATACTGAGAAAGTGGAAAAAGAAGTCTTGATTTTGTTACAAGCACAGAAAATAGCAATCAATAGATGTAATCAATAGGAGGTACAGTACACTTCTGAGCTTTTAATGAGCATTAGTCTAAAATTACAATCAAAACACATGACTTCCGATTTAACATACACATGTTTTTAAAATAAAAACACACATACAAAACCTTATTGCAACAATAGCTCACAATCTTCTATGTTCTGACAGCTGATTGAAAAGTTGACTTCAACTCCTTAATACATGATATGAATACACTGTTGATCTTGAATATATGCAATTTGATGACTTCAATTGTTCATTTAATTACATTCTGTTATATTACATACTAGAGTATGAATAGGAATCTCAAAATAATTTCTTTTTCCAAACTATATTGTTAACAAGAGACACCAGCAAAAGATAGATAGAAAATATTCCTGCTACTTAAAGCAACTGAAATGTCTTTGTAGAACTTACACCTAGCCCGCTTAAAAAATTAATAAATAAGACACAATATCTCCTGAATGCGTAGACAGTTTATATCTTCAGAGAGTCATGTGCACCACAAAATGAGCAGGAGGTTGATGCCTTTGATGAGAGTTTAACCCAGACTCTCAACCACAGTAGTTGTCAGTCCACTCTTGCTAACCTTAGTCTTGTACTGCTCGGGGATAGCATGTTCAACCTGATAAATATAAAGTTTTCCTTAGAATTTGTCAATATTTAAAAAGGCTGGGATTTAAAGTACCACAAATTAAGAAAACAAAGTACTTACATAATCTCCAGAGGCAGAGGGAATTAGAACATTCATCTCAGATGATTTAGAACTGACAATTTCAACATTCAATGATTGATCATTCAGATACATCTGGCATCCATCTGTTTTATCAATGGTAATAGTGGGTACGATTCCATTCACCTACGGCAGAAACAAAATAAGTGATGCAAATCAAAATTAATTGTGGAAAAAGCTCACGGCAAGTAATAGTCCAAGTAACTCTACCTGCATTTGAACTGATTGACAATTCACAAACTCAACAGACGAGACAAGTGAGTCAAAGACAACAGCAGATTTTTTGCAGGAATCCATCACAATAGAATTAATTTTTCCTTTAACAATAAGTGTGGAATCAACACACTTAAACATGTAAACCACATTGTTCATTTCAGCACCTTCCACAACAAGATTTTTATTTCCTTTCTGGTACTCCTGTAATCAAAAAACGGAATATTTGAGTAAAAAATCAATATAAGATTGGAAGAAGAGCTCTGAGAAGAGTTGGAAATATGAATACAATTTAGAAGGCAATGGAATGGAGAGCTACAGTATGTACTTACAACGAGCCACTTCTTGCCATCCCTGGTGAACTTTGGAGGCTTGTCAACAGCTTGGGCAGCAGGGCTTACACTGCTGGAATTGGAGACTCCAGTCGTAAATGGAGCTGGACCAGTTCGAAGGGATGGATTTTTGTGTGTCTGCATGTTAGAAGTAACTTTCTTCAAGCCTACAACAAAACATCAAGATTAACATGTACACATTACAACAGCAAAATACTTGAGTTAGGGGGGGAAAAACCTCTAAAAAACAGGGTAAGGAGGTTCAGGCATAAAACTGAACATCTTATTTTTATCTTCCAGCTACTCTTTTTGCAAAAACTATTAAAAAAAGAGGATGCAAGGGATTTTACAAAAGCATGCAAAACAGTGCAACTACTAAAACTTACTGCGGGTGATATTTTCTCCCTGATTAATTTCGGCAAATAGGGCTGACCGGTCCTTAGAGGGGTCTAGAGCGAGGCTTGAGAGATCACCCTCAGGGAGCACTGGGGGTGGTGGAGGCATTGCTGCGGGGGGAGGGGGAGGGGCACCACCTGCTCTCATGGGTTGCCATTCCAACCCGGTAGTGTGGTGCTTCTTGACAAAGTCCTGGAGTTCAACAAGTGTTTGGATCCAAGAGTTGACCCAGTCAACGTGCGTACGGTCCCTGAGGAGACAGTTGACAAAATTAGAATTATTAAAGGCCTAGATATAACTAAAAGCCACACAATAGCAAAAACTTTTCACTGATATACACTAAAGGGAATTATTTTGATGTTTTATTAATATTGGTGAGTTGGTTAGTTTCACTACTTTTGTTCCATAGTTTTCATTTTTTTTAAGTAGTGGCAACTTACCTGTCTTTGAAGTCCTTGATGACACGGTTCCCATAGAACAAGCCAGCATCCTTCATCTCTTTGACGAATGGAGATGGAGCAGGACTCTGAAAGACAGAAACTGGTAAGCGGTCACAAATATAATTAAGATGTAAGGAATAACCAGCAGATTTTCACTTACCACTGCCACCCAACCAAGAGCAGGAATACTTTCACTGATGGTGCTAAGATGATTGAACTGAGGTGAAGCTCGTTTCTTCTCCCTGTGCTCCTGAATGGAGATAATCAGGGTGGAAGTAGGCTGGAGCAGGGGTATCATTTCATTCTGACTGGCTGGTTTGGATCGGCTGCCCGCCAGCTCCAGAAACTGGCGCTGGACACTGAAATAAGAAAAGTGTAATATGAAAATTAAAAGCTCGAAAGAACATCTAAAAATTGAATTCAATAAGTGTAGTTAGTGTTGTACATACTCAAACGCGTTCTTGACAAAGCCAGCCTGCTCAGCGACATCCCCTCCAATCTTGGAGGAGAGAGCCAGGTACTGGGCGAGGGGACCCGCCACAATATCAGAGAAGACCTGCAGGCTCATGGTGTTGCCTGGCTGCAAATCTGGAAATGTAGGAAAGACTAGAATTATTTCACAGAACAAAATCATACAACAAAAAATACTACCAGTTTTTGGCAGATACAAAACATCAGAAGAGATGAGACTTTGCCAAGGCCAGGGAAGAGATGGGAACCGAGGAGAGGGGACGAAAGTAGGTAAGGCACCAAGCCAAGCGTCCCCCGCCCGCCGTTGCCCAATCACATGCCAGCTTGTTTTGAATGGCGAATGGAGCGGAGTGAACTATGAGTGTGTTGGTCGGAAAACGTAGGGTGGATTGGGGGGAGGGGAGTGGGGTGCTGTGGAAACTCAGGTGTGAGGCAGGGTGCATGGTTTGCGGGTGAGGCAAAATAAAGTACCTCACACCAAATCCCCTCAGACCTTCCTGTGCCTCACACCATTTGATGTTAAGTACCATGCGACATCATCGTGGAGGGACTCACCATTTGGTGTGACGTCACACCCGAGTTTCCAGAGTGGGCTGATCCCCCCCCCC